AGGATGTAAGCTGTTCCAGGTAAAGCTGCCTTTTGCAATTGACTGATGGTGATTTTGTTGCTGTTGTTGTTGTTATTATATTTTTATCTCTATCTATCTCTCTATCTCTCTCTCAAGGTTGTGAACATACCTAATACTCCTGCCTCCTATTTTCCCCACGACAGCAACCCTGTGAGGTGGGTTGGGCTGAGAGAGAGTGATTGTCCCAAGGTCACCCAGGTGGCTTACATGGCTAAGGGAGGCCAGAACTCAGTCTCTCAGTCTCCTGGCATATATATATATTTATGTATGCATGCGTGCGTGCACACACACACAGTTCAGCATAATTCGTTCAGCTGTAGTTAAGTAGGCTACTTTCAAAGTATAGAAAGATGTTATAATTTGATATTGTGGGAATTGCTAGGAATTATGTAAACAAAGTGATTTGCATTTGCTTATGTAGGAAGGGATGGAAGAAATTATAATATTATAAATTTTGGAGAAAAGGTGATCCCAAAATAATTTTTCTCAAACGGGAAAATAATATAATTTTAAATTTTGAAATACTTAGCTTTGGAAATTTTTCTAAAGATAAAAATGATGTATATGTAAAATACCAGAGTTTTCTTACATTTTATTTGGGAGTCCTGCTTCTGAAATCATAAAGATGTTTAAGAGAATTCTCTTCCTCTTTTAATATCGGCTCTTTTCTTTTCCCCCTTCCTCGTGTCTTTTGGCTTAACTTAATTCGTAACTCAGCAGTTTGCAGTGGGCGTCTACAGGAGGAATGAGAAAAGTCAAGATGTCAGCCGTCCCTGAGCAATTGAAACCCTGCCACTTTTCCATGTTGACTTTCTTGACCTCCCCCCGCCCCGGGATGTCCCTGGCAGTTTGTACAGGTTATCTGAATGACCCATTTCTTCTAAATAACTGCAGGTTTTTAGTAAGTTTTCTTACTGTTTTTCTGTAGAGAAAGTCAAAAAGCTTTTGTGGAAAAGACAGAAGTGAGAGGTCGACGGCAGAGACCTAAACCTAATATCATTAAAGCATCTGGCAGAAAAGAAGCATCTGCTCCAGGCGAGGTCAACAAGCCCAGGTCTGATGGTGCAGTAGAGAAGGTATACATTGTTTTGGATTTGAATGTGTTGCCCGAGGAGCTGAAAACTAATTTTCAATTATTACTCTTGTATAAAAATGTTTTATAACCCATCATATCATTTCATAGCACATTGTGCAGGAGCTTACACCTAAATTTGAATCAATATAGAGTATGGTAGCCATTCAGTACAACTTATCCCTTACCCTTCTTTTACAGTTTCTGCATAAAAGACTGTGAATGCTGAGTTAAATATCCAGCATGCGCCCCTAAAGCAGAAATAATTGCAATTATTATTTTCTTAGGAATGATACACAGTAAGAGGCAATAACAGGACTAGAAGGGGACACAATATGCTTTGTATATTGTTTTTCAGAAGTTTTGTATAACTATTTCTTTAAAAGAGAAAACAAGAAATACCTTTTACATAGTCCTGCTTCTACAATCTGTTTGGCTGATTACAAAAAACAGAATAAAAACTGTATAAATTAGTGTTTAAATAAGGTCTGGAACATATTTTTAATTTCTTTTAGAAAGTAGAGAGTAGAGTAGAGAGTATAATAATCAAAATATGTTGGGCAATATTTTTATTTCTGTACATTTTTTAGGGCCTCCTTGCCATTTAGTATGTTTCCTTTCTTGGCAAGAATAGTAACAAGAGATGAGGAATAGGAATTTATGGAATGCATTGAAAGATCTCTGCTGCCTGTTTCATGCTTGTTTGCTTTGAGTGTTCACTAGCTCTTTTTCCAAAACATATTACATTTATTTGGGAGCAGTAAAAGTTTATATTCTTAAGATGCCGCTTAAATTAGAATATAAACTTGAAATCTGGAAAAATTAAGTGTTTCTAAATTTCACTTGAGAGTGATTTGTTTTGAAAAGGAAAGCAGTTCCTTTTTTTATTATTAATTCTTAGGAAAATGAGCAGAATGATGCACCCATCATCCTCACAGCTGAGATTCCTGAAGCACATTGCCAGGGCTTGGATACCGAATCTGCGTAAGTATGGGAAGAAGAGTTCAGAATTTGGGCAAGGATCTTCTACTTTATACACTATTAATAACAGGAGTAGAAATGATTGTCCTCCTTAGGAATGACTTCATTTTATTATTATCTTTTAATGATTGTTTTTTCAGGACTAGCAAGCAATCCACTTCACAAGAAAGTAGCAAGCAAACTGTTCTCAAACCCGCACCACTAGCAAGGGGACGATTTCAGAGACCAAAACCAAATTTAGGAAGGGTTGCTAGAAGGCAAGAACTATCTGGAAGAAGAACTGGAGCAGAAGAAAAAACAAGCGAAGAGGCAATCACAGAAAAGACCGTGATGCAAACTGAATGTAATGACAGTCAACTTCTAAATAAGGATATCGCTGTAAGTATGCTGCGCATAAAACAATAACTGTATCTGTCAAATATTGAATGAATTAGGTATCAACCTATGAAGATTTCCTTTTGTAAAATACATATTCTTTAAGATGCCAGCACCTTCACTGACTTAATTTGAATTTCTTCCTCAACCATGGTATCATTTATCTGTATTTAAGTTGTGTGCTGGTACAATGATAGTTTAGTCTACTCCAACTAAATCAGTGTGTTCTATTCATGTAGCTATTATGTAAAGTATATTCTGACATACTAGAAGTAACTCCTATAGTTATAAACCTAACTCTTGATTATATTACTACAATCTGGAATTTAGAATCTTGGAGAACAGGTTTATACTATATAGAAGATGGCCTTTACATAAGCCAACAATTCTACCCTCTGCTTTTGCAGTCAATATCAAAGCTTCATTTATATATGTTGGATTTCTTTCTCTCACCTCAGCATCAGTAAGGCTGTGCTACATGTTTTTGAACTGCATTAAGTTCATAGGTAGAAGAATTCCTTACCAACACAGTTCAATACATCAATAATTTGGGAACTTGAACATCTCTGATAAGAGTTTTTCTTTTGTTGCTATTTCATTGTCCTTTTTTAAAAACACAGTACTTGTATTATCTTATATGTGAATTAATGACTTTTAAGAACTTTGCATTCTCCTCTGGGCATACTAGCCTTATTCCATCTAATTATATGCTCTATAACCTCTTATACTGTACCTCAGAGATTTAATCTTTTTTTCTAGGAGGCAACAGCTTACGAAGCTGACATGATGCACTGTGAAGCATTAGAAAAGGGAATGGTTGTTGGCAGTGAGAAAGTAGATGCAGCACACCCCAACCAATCTCCTGTGAAGAATCCAGTAGAGTGTGAAAGAGATAAACTAAGAAATGCCTCTCTCTCACTTGACATTGCAAAGGATGTGGTAAATCCTGCCAGCAGGTAGGCTTACTGTATTTTTAAAATAGAGAGCAAGCATATAAAACCCCTTCTTCATAGGAAAATGCATGATATCTATCTTTATGACATACCCCATAGCACAGGGCTGGGAAACGGGGGCTCTCTTTGTCATGCTTCACACCAAGGCTCAGCTGTAAATCACAGATCTCCAGACAAATAAATCTTTATTCTGTCTTTGGCTTAATTTGGCAGAGGACTCTTAGACATGACTCAGCTAGGTTACACACTTGGTTGCCCAACAGTTGATCATCCATGGCAGTGCAGAAACTGTAGGGACCTTTTGTATATCTGTGCTGGCACAGAGGGATCTGCAGCAAGGAGGTCAAAGAAGTTAAGGTGACAGGTGCAACCATGCAACCAAAGCCCTATCCCTTTTTAATGTGTATTGCACACTTATTAAAGAGGCATGGCTCTATTATGTACTTGTACCTGCCATCTTGATTTTGCCACCCATCCTGATGACAACCTTAGCTGCAGAGTTTAATTTCTTGGCATTTTCTTCCCACCCTCCTGAGTTAATGGATATATGGCTGGCCTCTTAACGGCATTGGGAGACAGCTGTGATACATTTACATAATGCTTCTTTCTTGTGTAGGAACTGCTGGTTCCCACTTGTTATTCTCAGTCCTTACATTCTCGATGTTTCAGCTCCCATCAACCTCAAATAATGGTAAATGGGAATTACAACCTAGCAAAAACAGGAGGCCTGCCCTTGTTATAATGCATGAATTATTTACACATGTTGGCTATATAGTGTCTAATGATGAGTTTAAATAATGGAATTACTCTACATAACTTTTCAAGTACAGAAAGATTCAGATTGAATAAAATATATTGCTAACAACCTTTATTCCTGCAACAAAGGTTGTTTAGGATCTCCCTTATACCAATTCATATCCAGTTGTACTTCTAAGCTAGAATGAATGTTATCCTAAGTATCAGAAGCTCCAAGGTAGGAGTCCTCCGTCTTACCTGAAGAGCACACCGCTTTTTGTCCTCTGAAGGCTACAGTTGGCTTTTGGGTGGCTTATTGAGAGACACACTCTAAAAGTGGTACAGAGGATCAGTAATTTTTAGTATTCTAAAAAGTAGTGGAATGTGTCAGGATGAAAATTAAATTAGAGGTAATTTTATTTACATTTAATATTAATTGTTCACTCTCCAATTACAAATATAATAATTACTCCTTTTTGTTGAATTCAAAATTGCAGTTTGGAGATGACTTTGAATCAAAAGCTGAACCAGAGCTTTTGGGAGTCACATGCAATTCTAGGCCTCAAGTTGTGCACCTGTGTGCTACTGGATATTTTTTTAACCAAAGATGCCTTAGCACTGTTTTGACTCCAGACTCTTCTCAGTATTGGTTACAAGCTATGTGGAAACATTTTCTGGATTTATTAGGATGTTAACAAATTAATTGCAACTCCTGTCTATCTGATAATTATCAGAATTATTTTTAGTAAATTAGGAATGCCCAGTGTAACAATCTACTAAATGTTAATTTCTACAATTATTTTTAAATGATAAAGTATAATATCTTTGTTTAAAGATGAACACAAAAATGGTGTTTTTTAAAATTATTATTGTAGTCATAGGTTGATTTTTTTCTTCATTAATCAGAGATTCCAGTCTTCAGGAAGAAAAAAAAGACAATTCTGTTGAAATAGAGCATCCATTGGAGAGTTCTCCATCAAGATGTAAGGAGAACTTAGAAAATGCATCAGACAGAGAGGAATTGTTACACACAGTAAAACATAAACTGGAAACTGCAGAAAAGAGTTCAGTAAATATCACTAGTGATTGCAATGAGACCTCTAATCTAAATGTAAGATAATTTTAAGCTTGTATTTTGTTGCTTGTAATTAATGTGACTTGTTTCATTTATTTTCTTAAATTTATAAGCCACCTAATTGGAACGATTGAAAAAAATGTACAGAGCATTTAGATTTATGTATTTGTAATGTAATTTAATATGTGTGTGTGTGCGCGCGTGCGCGCACGCATATTTCACAAAATGCCCTGGCCCAGGGCTTGTGAGAAGAGCCAGATTTTTAAAGGTCCCTTAAAGGGCAGCAGGGTTGGGGTTATGCAGACCTCAGAGGGAATATTCCAAAGGTCAGGACCAGCAACAGAAAACACATGGTTCTGTGGATCCACATGATGCATTGCTTAGTTGATGGGACATGGAACATGCCAACTCTGCCAGTTCCTATCGGACAAGCAGAAAGGATCAGAGAGAGGTGGTTCTGCTAATAACTAAGCCCTAACTCATGAAGGGCTTTATAGATGACAGCCAGCCTCTTGAAGTGCATCTGAAAGCCAATTGGTAACTAGTGCATTTCACAAAATGGAGGTGATGTAATGGAGAAACTTATGTGTGCCCATAACTGCTTACACCACCACATTCTGCACCAGCTATAGCTTCTGAGTGGTATTTGGGGGCAGCCCCATGTAGGCTACATTGCATTAGTCAGAGTGAAAGGTGATAAGATGTGAGTGACTCTGAGAAAGGTCTCATGATCTTGGAAGGGACACAACTGGTGCACAGCATGGATCTGTGCAAAGATCCTCTAGCCATGACTTTGGTGTCAGCTAGTTTTTTAATGGCAAATGTTCCATATGTCAGGGTCTTAAGAACTGAAAATTAATTTCTTATTGTTCTTTCTGAGATGTGTTTCTTCTGTATGGCACTGTTTTTGCATTTTAGAATTTTAACTGCTTGCATCATGCATTAATTCTTGAATAATTTGATATATTCTAGGAAGCAGCAAAATCTGAAACCTTCCCATTTTCAGAGGAATGTCCTACAAATGCTCAAGAGGAAATTGCAACAAATGAAATCCATTTGTCTCTCCAGAATCTTCCAGAGCTTAAGAATGATGCATCAAATGAGATTTCACTGGCATCTGATACCCAGAAAAAAGAATTAGTTAGGTAAGGACATAGTAGATATTAAGACTCTTGATGTGAACTATTTTTTGTAGACAATTTGGGCATACATGCAATCAGGACAGTAGAGGGGGTGGCCAGAACATCATTAGAAAGGGCATGGCCAAATATTTCAGTCTGGTTTTATTTTTTTGAAAGGAAATGAAATTGATAGGATTAAGGGGGAAAATTGAGCATTAACGCTCAAATCTACCTTTTTGTGTTTTTCTGAGTGATTTAAAGTTGATGCAAGAGCCTTACATCCTCTGAAAACAGCAATAAAATGTTTGGGTTGACCTCACAGAAGACTGGGGAAGCCTGCTGGGAGCTGCCAAAAGGTGTTGATTTTTTTTTTCTGTCAGAGGCTTGCAGGCAGCATAGCAATAACACAGTGAAGTTACTAAAAAGTATTTTCAGCACTTTTTCTTCTTCATTTGGATATATGTAATGTTTTAAAAATTTAAAATAAGTGTGTGAGGTGATCATAGATAGAAAATGGCCTATCTTTAATTGGCCTTTTGCCACTAAGTTTTGAAAATATAACCATGTTAGGCCCCGGTTGCCACGAAAAAAGACATAGAGGCTGCTAGTTTCCCCTCCTTGTATGTGGATATGTGATTTGCACATTTCCACTGACTTCTCATTCACTAATATTCCTTTTCCCAGATTTATACCATTCCTGTGAAATTCCTGGCATTCAGGGGCAACCTTTCAGGGCTCATAAGAAATTGCACCAGTATATGCATGGAACACAATATATTGTAGAGCCCTGTCTGCTTAGAAAATGATTTGGAAAAGGGGCTTTAGGCCTCACAGAATTTAGACCTCACAGCTATTAATTAATGCAGCCTAATGTTTCTTGGCATGAGCCTGAAAAAAGATACAGCTGTTTCAAAGACAGAAGCATCTGTAGGATTTGACACTTTTGTCAAAATGACAAAAGCAGCATTGTGCTGTTGGTTGTGCCCCTTTGATATGTGTAAGTGATGTCCGTGATGTGCATACAAAAGGAGGGTGCTGCTTTCATGGTTTGCCCCCTCTTCCCCCCCCCATGGTTACCTCTGTTTAAGTAGTTAATTCATTAAAATCAATATGACTCATGTTGCATCAAGAATGCTGTTTTACAGTTAGAAACAGGTTCAGTTTCTGTGAGTGCCAGAGCTTGGTTCTATCGCCTTAATTTCTGGTTGCAATTTATTTTTTCTCCTGTGGGTCTGGCTCCACCGGTTCTCAGAGACCATTTTAAATCAACCTGGCTAACAAAAGCTAATAGCAAATTCCAGTCCTTAGGACTTCGGAAAGAGTCTGTCCATTAGGACTTGAAAATGTCAGGAGTCATTTTAAATGACATATCTGGAATATTGATTTTCAAACCAGTTTAAGCCTAGGATCCAACCCTACAGTTTATTGATTCTTCTCAAATGGGCCTGTGCCATCATCTTATCTCTCCTGAATCCTAATTCTGAAATTTCATCAGGCTTTAACCTTGGCCAGGTTGGATGCACTACCCTCTGCAGTTCTGTGGGGGTGGCACAGAAAACATCCCTTTTCATCAGTGCTTATGTCCATGTGGCAATGGCTGTGTGGAATCCCTAAGCCATATGCTCCTTTGTTGCTCTTACATAGGGAATGTCAGAAAATGTATATATTTATCCCATTTTAAAGAACTACCCAGGTAGAGAACACAATGTCTGTCTGTCACTACTTCTATCTGCCCAGGATCCTGACATATCTTTCCAGGTTGCCCAATTTTGTGCTATCATTTGTTATATCCATCCTACCTATAGTTGAAGTTTAGCACAAATTTTGGTGATTGCCACTGCTATTTATACTACAGTTACTATAATAATGTATTTTATGTAATTTTATTGCATTTTTTAAAAGTTTAATTAATAATTACGTGCCTATGTATTTGATTGTTGTGCTTTCTGGTCCAAAAACTGTAGTAAAGGTTTGATTTGATTTGACTATGACTCTTATAAGAGTGGCATTTTTTTTAGGCCTGCACAAAGTCTGAACAGAGTCAGGTTGCTTTACTGAATCTAATGAGGTGTTGTGCTTGCATAAATTTCAAAACATTTTTCCAAAGCATTTTCAGAGCATCGGCCCATTAAATCCAAACTGAGTATTAGGTTAGAATTAAGGTAAATAATGACTAGAAAATAAATAAAGTCTACTATTCTGTTAGATATCGGAGTGCCAGTTAGCAATGAATACAAAAATAGATACACATTTCAAGTTTTTCTTACCCTGTTTAGTGATCATATGGATATTATCTGTTAGAGATGCTGTCAGTAATATGTTTGGTTAATTGTCATATCTACTCATTTTGATTTTCCTCTAGCAAACGGAGCTCACAAGGAGAAAGCAAGCAAAGTGATACTCAATCAACACCATTGCTCAGAGGCAGGTTCCAGAGACCCAAACCTAACATAGGAAAAGTAATTGGAAGGAAAGAAAAGAAATCTCTGGAAGGAAATGAACTAACAACCAGTGGAAATCTGGGGCTACAAAAATCTGAACCTACCAAAACTACATCTATGGTAGTAAGTCAATAAAATAGTTTGGATTGTTTTTATTTTGAGTAGAATTCTTGAATCTTTGAAATTCAAGATAAATGGGTTTCTGTATTGTCACAATTATTCTTTGATATTCAGAATATCACTGCTGAAATTATTTCTCAGTTTGAAGATTGAAACTTTAACTTTCAGACCCAGATCAAGTGTGTTGATAAAATCTTATCTGATGAAGCCTTGGAGAGTAGACTAGAAGACTCTGAAAAAGTAATCCAGAAAAACTCTCTAGCGCCCAGTACTTTTCAGAATAGCTCTGATCTACATCTCAGGTATGTTCTCAAATGTGACTTTTGTTTTCTGTATTATCCATTTATTATGTATGCTGGTAAACCTAAATAATCATGTCAGTAATACTTTTGGTAGATGTCGCTTTTATGAACTTTCAGTTTTTAAAAGTATGGCACTCCTTTCTCCTCACTTTCCCAACCATGTGGTGTTTTCATGTGCAGATTTTTTTTGCTTTCCTTTTCCACCCTTCATGAAGAATTTCAAGGAGCACTGAAGTGGAATAGAAAGTGACAGAACCCCCTTAGTCTTTGGAAACAAACACATGGCGAAGGCGAGCAGAAAAAGGAGCATATTGTTAGGGGATGAGGCTGTGGGACTACACACGTGACCCATATACCCCGTGTCCCTGTGCAAGGAAACTCCAGACTGTTGTGTATTCAATAGGAGCAGTGGCCCCTGTGGGGGAGGGGACGGGTGGTAAGGGGAGCAAAACAACAAAAGTAGCACTGTAGCATCGCCCTGTCCTTTGTGTATGTGCATTGTTACATTGTACACATGGATGAAAGGGGCAGAGCTTGTAGTGGGGAGTCTTGACACTGCCTTCATTCTGACAAAAGCAGCCAACTCCTGTGGATGGCCATGAGTAGGACGGCTGAAGAGAGATTCTATGTGTATCCAACTTACATGCTGCAAACCTCCCCAGGATACAGAATGCGACCTTATCAGGACTTATTTGAAAGCTTCTAAGCAGGAAAAAAGAAAACAGTCCTTGGCTAACCCATTTTCTTGCCTTATACCCCTGATCTCTCCTAAAGGTCCAAAAGCAGAGACCGTGTGTTCCTGATTTCTTTTTAATATATAATTTGTGTTAAAGATTTTTACATGAATAAAAGATTTATAAAGGAAAGTTAAGAAAAAAGATAGAAGTATGAGAAACAGTACAAATAAAGAAGAAAAGAAAAAGAAGTGACTACCTATCTTCTTTACAGAAGTTACAAACCAATTTATTATCCTTCTTCTTCCTCTAAGATTATATCACATAGTTCCCTTCTATCCCATATTCAACCCTTTTAATCAGCAATCACCGTTTCATTTTTTTTCCCTTGTTCAGCAAAAAGTCCCTAAAAGGTTTCCAGTCTTTTATAAAAATACTTCTTGTTTTATCCCTGATCAAACAGGTCATTTTGCCACTTCTGCAAATGGTGCCATCTTCACAATCTATTCTTCCATTGCTGGTATTCAGTATTTCTCCAATGTTGTGCATATAGTAGTCTTGCTTGCTTTCCTGTTTTCTGAAGTTTGACTGTTCTTTCTTGGGCAGTTGCTAAAAAACATCTTTGCTGCCCAGCAGTTTTCATCTGCTCCTCCCCCTATGAACCAATCAGCATGTTTAAATGAGCATTCATCTTACTATATGTATTGGCCTCTCCCATCCTTTCTCTTGGATTTTCAGGTGAGGAGGGGGTGGATGCTTTGGGAGAGGCAGCTGTTGAGAAAAGCTTGGGACCTGTTTAGAGGTAGCAAGGAAAATCTGTCATAAGACAATGTTCTGCCAGTATACCGTTACACTTTGTAAAAAAAGAAGTTGCCTACATCATTTGAATATGGAGAACTGTGCTTGTACAAATCAGGATATACAGTTTGATTCAATCCATAGTGAAAAAAAAATTGAAAGCATATCCATGAGATTCCCTGTGGCATGGATAGCAATGCAGAGAAAGAAATATGCTACCCTTTCATTGAAGAAGACCGCCAGACAAAATACTTGTTTGAAGGGAGTGTTATAAATGATATTATACAGACTTACAAAGTTTTAGGAATGTATTACATTTGTCAGTTTTAGGAATGTATTACATTGTTACACATATAGCAATTTGATTCTGGATGGGGTGATTCTGCCCCAGACAGACCCGGTGTGCAATCTGGGGGTCTTCTTGGACTCACAGCTCCTGCTGGAAGAGCAGGTGGCAGCCGTGGCTAAGAG